AAAGGCAAGCAGAGTTTTAACAATGAATTAAAGAAAGACAGACGTGCTACTGTCCGAAACACGTCAAATACAAAGTCAGATGCTCTTTGAAAATGATGCCTCACATCCAAACAGACGTGCATCAAGAAAAAAGGGACAGCAGATACTGCAGGAAAGATCCCAGAAGTACAATGCAAACTAAAGGTCAGATGACAAGATACAAGAAAAAAATAAATAAAAGGCATGACAACTTGAATATAACAAAGCTATAAGACACAGCACTATTCAGTGAAAGTAGTCAAAAGCCTTCCCTCCAACGTGTATGAACATCAGTGAAGAATTTTTATAGCGAAGAAAGTTAGCAGTGGCAAAGGAAACAGGAGCCAATAGAGAAAGAAAAAAGAAAAAGAAAGCTTCAAATGCTATGAAGAAAAGCAGGTATTATGAAAAGACAGAGTGGGAACAGTACATTAAATGCACAAATTTTAAGTTTTACGACTAGACAGGCCTGTTAAACAGGACTGTTAAATGAGGTGTCCTTAAGGTGAAAGCATCTTAACTAACCACCTTTTGAATCGATAACCTGAGGCTTAATATAACTTCCAGAATGATATCTAGGTCTTTGTCTAAAAACATCAAGTTTACTCATTCCTGTATCATTTAATTCCAGTGGTTAATCACCTTTTCCATTAAAAGGTTACACTGACATTTTCTTGATGTGTTTCAGTATTGTCTTGCTAATTCTAGAAATAATGCTCCTTTTCTGTCCCAGGCCTGTGCTGAACTGTTCATCTACTGTAGTCTCCTCAAATCTTACCCTAATTAAATCAGAAATGTAATCTTTTACTGAGGAGATATGGTCTCTATCTTTTTCCCTCAGTATTTGATCTTGTGTATTTTATAGAGGTAATACATTTGTTAACAATGCTTAAGAAGTCTTAAATAACCTGTCATAGCTGCCTCTCCCCTTTATTTAACACTAATATGTAGTCACCTGCAGCTTTGTTTCTATTCAGAGAGTTTTATAGTTACTACCAGATAAAAAACCACAGCATTTCCTGGTACTGAAACATATGCAGCCTTAATATTAATAGGTGCATGCAATGATTTCTCACTATTTTTCAGACCTTGTACATGTAGTTTAATTCAGCACACTAGTATTTCACATTATTATATTGGCCTTAAAACTAGCAGAGAAGCTTAATGATGTCGAAAAGTCTGAAGAATTACTTACGGTGACAACCGTAATGGAGATTAGGAGGAATGAATTATTACCAGATAACTTTAATAAAGGGAATTTAGAGTGAGGCAAAATGACAAGACCTGAACAGCAAAATCTGGCACTGACAGTAAGATTAACTTCACAGCTTTTCAGGACGGAAATGAAAAAACACCCATAACAACAGTACACCTTGCCACTAAGAAAGACAGAATAACAAGAATTACTGCTAAAGGACAAAACCAGTGTTTATGGATATCATCGATTCTCTACTGATACAACAGAAGGCTCGTGGAAACAAGAAAAAAGGAAGTAAGATTGATGAAAAGAGAATTAAAAAAAGAGTTAAAAAATAAGAACTGAGAAGATGGAACTACATAATGAGAAGATGCAGAGAGTGCCTCAGATGAAACAGAAGACCCTCAAAACAGAGGAAACCGCAACAAATTTGACATTACTGTCAGAAAAATCAGACCTGAAGTTTTACATTTAAAGAAGTACCCAAGCATTGCAAAACAAAGAAATGTATTGTAAAGCCTACTCAACAACAAACTCGGTATGTTTTATGGCCAGCAGATGGCATGTGTAACAAAAACATTAAAACAGCAAGCCTCATTTCAGTATAAAGATTGCTGAATAAGCAAAAAAGTCAGCTTTCAGAACTTAATACAATAAAACATATGTGGAAACGAAGTATTTCATAAAATGGTTTGATTTGCTTGAAAATACTTACATCTTAGTTTGTCCAGTATTTTACCACCACACATTGTTGCTAACATGGCTTTCACTGAAAATACCGTCAACTTCCCATGGCCCTCACTGTGAAAAAAAATTACATGGTAAGTAATTCCTACAGAGAATGATAAGTAATAAAAATACTTGAGGTCTAGGAAGGAAATGCATTAACTACTAAGATCTGCCCAAACTATGTAATATAACATTGTAACAGTGATAACACTAGCATTTTTAATATATTGGAAGAGTTAACAAGTATCTAAATCACAAATCAGATTTTCTTGCAGAATTAGGAAAAAATGCATGGATAAAGAGACCACCATTTTTCCTGTTCTGCCACAACTATCCTATAAAAAAGTAATGTGTTAATTTATTTTTTCCATTAAAATACATTTGTTCACTGCAAAGCATCTCATTTTTTACTCTGCTACCCTTGTTAGTTGCTTTAAATTTTTACTCCTTCATTTAAACTCCGATGTTCGAATACACATTTCATTCTAAATATAGTACAGTAATTGACAGCTAATGGAGAAGTTGCATGATATCCTGAATAGTAACCACACAGAACAGGAATAATGTGAACATCATTTTATTCTAATTTAAGTTAATAACGCTGCTGTGCTATCAGAACAGAAGGTACATTTAGGGAATCATTTTCTAATATCAGCAAGAGAAAATGAATTTGTCTCTACAGAAAGTATGAAAAAGCCCATTCAGCACGGTACGATATGTAGAAATAGTTAGGTGTATTATTCCTGTTACCAGAAAGAAAGATAAGGATGAAATTATGAGGGAATGAAGTCTCCAGAAACAGAGAAAGAGGCTTGCTGGGTTAAAGCACAGCACAGCTGATATCAGTAGCAGTTTCTCCCAGCATAGCACTGGCCCAGAAGGCATGCATCCTGCCTCCCTGTCTCCTGAATTTCTCTATCACCTTTCATAGCAATAAAGACAGCAGTCAAGAGACCTTCCAACATATGATGTTAGACAGCCACAGTGTGGCGATCTCAGTGTAAATCCACTGTCACTGTGAAGTTGGTGGAAAGTTAGTTTAGTGATGCCTAGGGCAAAAGAAATGTGGGTAAACGTGGGTAAAAGCTGTTGGAATTCTGAGTAATTTATTGCCAAACAGCAATGTACTGAGTTATTATGCTTAACTATAAACAACAACAGTGGTACAGACCGACAAACCGTCAAGGAAGTTAAGTCACATATAAAAGGAGAAAAAGAATTAAAATACTTTCAAGTAACTGTAATTAAATGTATTGGACACATAATTTGTACTATCATGGGAAACATGATGATGGGGAAAATACACGATGAGTGTTAGAAAAGATCTAGAAAAACTCTAGAATAAGTCTGTGTGGAAATGAGATGCTTATTTAACATTTGCACTTGGACAACTAGCACTTGGAAAGTGTTAAGAGTAAAATTATTTGATGTAAATATTGGCTTAATGGTATTGAAGTAGTGACAAGGTCTGATGTCAATGACAGACGAACAACCAGATGGAGACATCAGGAAGTGACCAAATAACTTTTTCCGCCCCCCCTCCCACATTCAGAGTTAATATGCAAATATCTCCTGGTAACATACACTCCATGGTGAGGCAAAGGCTCTCAGCCTTTCTCAGACTGAGAAGTATCTGAAATATAATAGACTATTTCTCTAATACAAACTCAGAGTATCTTTCAAATATTCCCTTTACAGAAGAGAGGCAATCTGTCCTAGATCTACAACTGCAGAAAGATCTATGAAGAGGAATGGCGACTCAAAGACCATCACCTTGTTGATATCCAGTATCCTTTTAACTGCTAATTAAAGAAACTAAACAAAGTGAGAAAACTAAACACATTAGATATTTATTTCAAGCTATATGAAGACTATAAAGTTAACGACAAGGTAAAGACCTCAGCTATCCTACTTTGTTTCTGTCTTTTCTCTTAAATAGCTTTCTCAAAGGAATAAGTTGGCACTCTCTCTGCATGTATTAAAAAAAACATTAAGACTTGACTACATCTGAAACTGCTTGTCAGAAAAGTTCATCCTCTTCAAGCCTTGACCTCCACTTTTATCTGAGCAAATCTTACTAGCTAATTCCAATTTCCATAAGTTACAATCTCAGGCCCCCTCCTCCTTTTCTTTTTAACAGACATTAATTTTCTCTCAAAAAAGAGTTCAGCTTTGAATTAATTTCCAGAAAAAAAAAAGTGACTGAGGCCATCAATATCTCCTCACAGGATACAAACTTATCCTTGCAAAGGTATTTTATGGTTCCTTCGGATATTAGGCTTGCTTCCGCTAACATTCTGTTTATTAATCAAGAAAAAATCCCAAACTCCTCCCCCTGCAATCTGCTAGATGTATAGTTATTGAGCAACTTGTCAAAATCGATTTTTATACCAATGCTATTCAATCTACTGAATTCGCTATCGAAAGGAAAAAGGGCAAAATTTTCAATATGATTTTGAAACTCCTGTAACGATTAGGAGTTCTCAGGATTGGAACTAGAACTGCGGGGCTTTTTTAAAAAGCCTGGGCCTGTGTACATGGGGCTTCTTCCAGTTGCCTGAAGAAACCCTCATCCTCTACGTCTTCCTAACCAGGAGGTCTGTAGCAGACGCCCACAGCAATGATGCCCATGTCAGTCTGCCCACTAATCCTGACTCAAACTCCCAGCTGGCTCATCATCTGTCCCCAGGCAGAGCTCCATGCACTCCAGCCGCTCACTCACGTAAAGGGCAACTCCCCCTCCGCGTCTGTCCCTCTAAAGAACCCATGGCAGCACTCCAGTTGTGCCAGCTCTCCCACCGTGTCCTCTCTAGAGGAATCTGAGCTCTCAATCCTCCTGTTTGTTCCCCATGCTGCACGCCATAGTGCACAGCCACTTCAGAGAGGCACCTCATGCTGATTTCCCAGAAAAGGCCTGAGAGCTTCCTGTTACCTGAGCATAACGCTGATCTGTAGGCATTTCCTTATGTATACACATATGCCCCTTCCCGCTCTGCTGTGCCATTTACAAGGTTCCTCCTAATTGCACGACTCCATGCTTGGCTTGCAAACTCACTTTCTCATTCATTTGTTGGCCATCCTCTCCCTCCCCCTTATTGCATGCTGCTTTATTGCCAGCATAGAGTGTGGTTTGATACCTACAATTTTAAAAAGAAAAAAGAAGTTGGAGCAGCTAAACCCACTGTCAAATCAAATGCGATTTCTGAAATAAATGAAATAAAACCTGACTGCTCTGAAACAGTCAAATGGGGTCAGGGAATGAGACGTTTACTCTGGGGTGCCAGTAATACGTCAGGGACTTTAGAAAAGCTGTGAGAGGCTATTGGGAAAAACAGACCAGGAATAAACTGTCAAACACCCATGGAAAGCTCGGTGGAAGAAAGCAGCGAAGAACATCATACCAAAGCTGTTCATCCTCACCACTCACCACGGACGCAGTATGAGCCATCATTTCTGCACCATGACCAGTGTTGTTCTATGGCTGTCAGCAAAGTGTTCACTGTGAGCATTTTTCATACGTACCTAACATAAGCTCTAACTTAAACATTTCCATGGGGAGGATGCTAGTCAAATCTTTGATCCCTGTACCTGCTTGGTAGAATGCTAATGACTGTGTGATGTAATCACCAGCACCACCTCGTCAGAAGCTACTGGACTACGTGCATTTAAGCAACCACACAGCTACCCCAATGATGCAATTCCACCGCAGATTTGTACTTTTTTTTTTTTTTTTTTTTTTTTTAATAAAAGTCTGCCATGTTCATGAACTACTGGAGAGGGAGCCTCAGCCCTGCTTCTCCTCTTATTCTTGGTTCTCCCATTGCACAACGCAGCACAGCATTGCAGCTTCTCTCTCAATGCCCCATGCCAGATAGAGGAAGCTAAACAGAAGCTGTTACACTGTGCTGGGATCGAGCGTGCTGCTTGGGTTCCAGAAGAGGCAGAACTTGCAGGGTTGGGGGCAGTGGGGGAGAAAAACATACCTCCAACTAAAGCCTCAATCTTTTGAGACAGCTCTCCAAAACATAGCCATTTCTATTTTTAAAGTCTGTATTTGCTAGTGTGATCTGTCTCAGAATAACTAAAACCATCAGCTAACACTTACAACTTGTCTCACAACTAATACCAAATCACAACTGAACAGAAAAATACATGTTTGATTGTGTTGTCATAGCAGCTCTTCCTTAATGTTATTTTTCTCTGTCCTTAATGAGACAGGGATTGTTCTGAAGTCTTGAACTTTTTTGGGGGAAACCTAGCTTCTGATTGGTGACCATAAGAAGTCACATTAGGAAAGGATCAAGATCCGGACATTACAAACAGAACAAGTATTTGGCATATTCAGTGCTGCAGATTGTCTTGGGTAAAACTCCTCCATCTCTGTGACAGCTTCCTGGCCACAAGCAGTTCTTCTCTACTGCTAGGAGAGAGGGCAAAAGCAGAAGAAAGATAAGACTGAAATAATAGCTGATAGCTGATTTTGAGAAAGATAAGACAAAAAGACGTGCTAAACAACAGTGAAAGATCTGCAGTTGCTACTCAGAAAACCCACAGACACACACCTACTCAAGAAGATCAGCAGACCGAACCCTGAAGAAAGAGGCTGCCAAAGAAACTTATAAAACTGGACACAAGGAAATGCCTAGACAGTACCCTGAACAAGAAACCAAGCTTCTTCCAGCCAAGAAATGGGAATCAGCCTTTATGGGGTCACAGAATGTTAGAATAGGATCCAAGCTGACTCTCAAAACAAGGTAGCACTATAAAATGGTCGTGTTGATCAAGATTCAATAAAACACTTTCACTTTTTAAAACAGTGCTGTACCACCTTGAGGTTAACATTATGTTCTATCGCAGTCTGCAGAACACCGTTTCACTTCATATTCAGTTCAGATACACGGCTTACAGCAGTCTGCAAGTTCCAGAAGGCACTAACTCGTCTTTCTTAATAAAACAATTTTTAAGACAAAGCATTGCTGCTGTGGCAATGTAAATCTCTGCAGGCACTACTATGATATTAAATATACGTGTGCGTATGTGCAACACACAATTTCATGAACTTGAGAAGTAGCATGCGGACAGTTTGTCAGAGACTCATGCAGTTGTTGGCTGCATTCATCTAACTAAAAGAGAAAATTAGTTTAAGAATATAACTAGAGGAGTTACTAGCCTGTCATATGCTGCTATCATGAAGTTGAGGAGGAGGCTGATGGATTGTTCTACACTGATTTGGTGAGTAGAAGGAAGGCGTTTGTTTAGCTGGTAGTAGATGGATGAAATGATTGTTTCTAGTCGAGACACGTTGATTTCTGTGTTATGATCCAAAGTGTTAAGGCCATTATCTCGGAAGGCTTCAATCATATTCCAGATATCTACAAGATGAACTAAAAATAAAGGAAAAAAAATTAACTTCTATTCTGTAAAGCATGCAAGCTTACTTTTATGGTACTGTTTCTGAATAGTATGTTAGCTTTTATTTTGGAATGAACAGTTACTTATTCGTATTCAAAGTGAGAGACAGAGTCTTGATATTCATACTCATAGCTTGTGTCAGCTAGTTTAAAGTAACAGAGCAGTGCCCAGACACCTTGCGTACCTTTTATTCCACCCTTCAACATCTGGGTGCCCCAACAGAAAAAATACATAAAGGAGAAAAGCGATCTTCTGTCATCATGCAGTGCGTTTTAGCAGAGTTAGATATTTTCATTTGAGAAAGACGTCAGCCATATTCTAAATCCACTACAAATTTGTTACAATAATTTTGAACATCCTCCTGCTGACTACTAGTTCAGTTCTGAAGGAGGAACTTGATGTTCCAGTTAAACTATGACTGTTTCCAGTTGATCCAGTTGCCAAGTCCAGAGCATAATGCTTTGTAAACATAGTTCTAGAACTCCAAAGCATTTCCCTAAACTACCCTGTTGTATCTTACCGCATATCTAAGAAGTGTTAATGATGTAGACAAAAAGCTTTCTAAAACCACAGTAAGTGATCTGCAGAACCACATTAAATAATATATTTTAAAATTTTTCAAAGCTTGAAAGGTATGCATGATAGTGGGAGAAGACATCTAAGGATCAACAGTGATCCATCAGTCCAAACTGAATGTGATCCTATAGTTAAAGGACAGACTTATTTGCTAACTTCATAACTCTCTTGTTACCTTCCTTAACTTACAATAAAGGGTCTGAAGTAAGAGTGTGATCTTTAACTTTGCTTATATGAAACTTGTCTTTATATTTCTCACATAAAAAACACGCAGTGATAAAAGCCAAGCTACCTATTCACACCATGCATATGCCCCTGGATCACCATGTGGTCCAGACAAAGATCATAAAGGCACAGCCTCATCTATACCTACTCATATGGTAAAGGGTACTCAAGGCATATGCACGGCATCAGTGAATTGGGCCCAAAGTGTGCAATGTACTATAATTAGCACTTCTTAATACCTCTCTACTGATTAAGAGAGATTTTTAATTCAGAAGCGTGAATTACAGACAAGAACTAACACTTTTCCACAGGAATTAAAAAGTTGCAAGCCATCCATCAAGTTAACGGCACTGCAGGTATTGCCGCAACAGCCCCAAGAAACACACGCATCCCGGGGTCAGCTGCACCACGGAGGAGCTACAATTTGCAGCGTGCAGTTGCACACGTCCTTTACAGGACTCATCAGCAATTCTGCCCTCTTCCACACCAGACACACGCTAATCCCACTTCTCTGGGAGGAGGGACCTATCCCTGCATACATTGGTCTGTTCCGTTTTTTGCTTTGTCCAATTCAACACTGGTAGCAGAATGCAAAGTCGTATCACCTATCCACCCCTGCATTAATCTGTGCTTTGGTGAGCTACCCAAGGTCAAAGGACCATGGAAGAGAATGAGAAAATGTACTCTGACTAGTATGCCCTGAAAGAATTCTGTACAGTTGCTACATTTCATATATGTCACCATGATCAGATCCAGACACTTTCATGCTAGTGACTGTGTTATGCATCACCAAACCCATGCCTGTGCCTACCTGTCAGGTGGTTTGCAGTACACCATGATGGAGTAAGAGCTCAAATGGCTTGAGGCTGCCTGCATCCAACACTTAAGGCAACTGAAGTAAGTCAGGCTGGTCCATATATTTTAAATTTTTGAAACATTAAAGAATACTCTAGTATCTATTGAAGATAGAGTATTGGACAAAGATCACGGCCTGTTTTTAATTACATATTTAACCTCTGTTTAAGTAACAACTACCATTGATAAAATGTTTGCTTACTCTTGCTATACTTAAAATTCACATGGGTAGAATATTTGAAACAATCATGCATGAGAAATTTTTGAAGATAAGGAGTAATTATAACTTACGATTACATCTTTTTTGTACAAACCGCAGTTTACAGGCTGTTCGATACGTTGAAAGTCTGATGACATCAAAATTCTGTGCTCCTATGAATAAAAAAAAGTTTGTGTTTTTCTTTCCTCTGTAACATTCAGCTTATCTGAGAGAATTACTTCAAAAACGGCATGAGTGTTTCTTCACATACATCATCTTTGTCACACAAACATGACAGAGATTTTCATTAGGTATCTTGTGGTAAAGTGATTTTCAGCAGTGTATTATAAACTGACCTAAGTTTGAGACTGATACAAGTACCTTAAAAGCAAGCAAGAATTAGGTGGTAGGTGGGTAAGGAAGAGGATTGCAACTGATGTTGGAAGACATGTACACAAGAGACAAAGAAAAAGGGGGGGTGTTCCTCCTACCACCATCTGCATTGCAGCCCCATCAGAACATGCTTTTGGTCTCCCAAATCAGGTAAGAGAGAGAAGAAAAAACATAGAAGAAAAAAAATTAAAAAACAATCTTATCTTCACCAACAACCTCCCACCTCAAGATGTGTAATTTGAATGCTATTATCTATCACTAGTCTGTACCACATCTACCAGTTCCAGCAATTGCTCTGAACAATAAAAACTTGGGCAACTTCAGAAAGTTACGTTAACCCTCTGCCAAACAAACCTGTGTACCTCCTATACTGATCAAATGAGATGATAAATGTTGAGGGGATAAATGATACTGGTTTAAAGTCCAGCATCAATCATTTTAATTTGGAAGCAGCCAACAAGTCAACTATTGAAAGTCCCATTAATCATAAACCAAAATGCCTTTTAAATGGCTCACATTTCAACACCATTAGCAGCTACGTCCTATGATCAATATAGCTCTAAGGTGTAGTCTGAAACAACCCAGCTGCACGTGGACAATGGCATGGATGCACATGGCTCCTGCGCCTCTTGTATTCTCACGGGAGTGCGTAAAAGCAGGATCTGCTGCAGTCTTTCTTACTTCTCTCAAAAGCCAGAGAATAGACGAGTAGAGTACTGAGAAATGGGGATAAATGTGACTTACAGAATCCAGACTTCTAAAAGGTACTTAAAAACAAACACAAAAAACCAAACCCACATCCTCCTGAAGAAAGTATCTGATTGCTGTATCGGGGGGCTCTTGCTCGAAGGTGATAACTTATTCCCTCCTACATTGTGAATTCAGAAACCAACTTGCAAATACCTCATTTGAATTACCTTTGTGTATGCACGCACTGACTCACAGTTGCAAATTTAAGAAAGTATTCTTATCTTTTAGGTATTTCATTACAATTTCACAAATACAATGCCAAAGCATCTGCACACATGCCAAAGCATCTGCTCGTTCTTATGTACTGTGTCTTGAAAGTGACACACAAGGATTATTTCTCTTCATCACTGATGTAGATCTTGAGGTGAAAACACTCTCGCAAGATCAGTGAGGAGGCCAACCAATTTCCCAATCCAAAGCTCCCCATGACAGCTTACCTAAGAGCGGCACTAGGCTAGCCAACATCTGAGGAGTGTTCTGCTTGAGAGTATGGTGCAACAAACTTAAGTGGATTATTTCACAGTACCATCTTTAGAAAACGAGTCTCTCAGATATTTCAGGAAAGTACTTGGCCAGGTAACATAAGCTGGAGTATTCAGATCCAAGGCTACAACAAAATAGCTCGTTTTGTATTTTCTATGCAATATTCTTTCAAAACTCTCAATTAGGGTGCGTACTTCTGTCTTTCTAACCACAGAAAGCACTTACACAGACCATGAGTCTTGACAAAATGCTTTGTCTATAGAAAATATATGTATATAAAATATACATGTGTGTACATTTATATATATGTGGACATTTAACAGCCACATGCAAAACCAAAAAGTAATCCATTTTCTGTTCTTACCACAAAAGCTTCAACAAGGTCATTCTCCTAAAATATCTGAAGATAAAATGGGATGTGTTTTCAAGACAGTCTATATGGCTTAGAATGACAGAATAATTGAGGCTGGAAGGGACTGCTGGAGATCATCTACGCCAACCTCCCTGCTCAAGCAGGGTCAGCTGCAGCGATGTGCCCAAGATTGTATTCAGTCAAGTTTTGAATATCTGCAAGGATATCCACAACTTTGCTCATAAAAATGTTTTTTCTCACATTCAGATGGAATTTGCTGTGTTTCAGTTTGTGCCCATTGCCTTGTACCCTGTCACTGGGTTGAGAAAAGTCTGGCTCCACCTTCTTTACATGCCTTCCATACAATAAACTCCACATGTATTCTGCAGTTCAGAGAAATCAGAATAGCTTGCACAGAATTCTTGTCTAACAGACAGCTCCATAAGTACTGCAAAATCAACAAATACATCCTTGGGTAGCATGTCCAGTGTGGATGAATGCCAAAGTCTACTCTTGTCTTACATGAACAACTATCTAAACACCTCAGCAAATTTGTATGTTGACCAACAACAAATAGTCACTGAAAGCATCAATTTTACACATCGTACATCTACTCTGTGTATGAAGCTCACCTAGAAAGGAAACATTTATGTGTTCACTTTATAGTGAAATATTCCGCCACAGGACAGGTGAAGCTTGAAGACCTTAGATTTCTCAGACTGATATGCTAAAGAGCCTTACAGAGAAAGGCAGTTCAGAATGTCTACACATCAGCACTTTCACTGATAATCAATAGCAAGAACCACAGCTGCACAGAGACACCTAGTATAATCAGATGAATTCCAAATATTTTTAATAATTTAACTAAAGCTAAAAACTAGCAAGTCACTTTTTGTACTAAATGATCACAAGACGACTACAACACTTTAAAGTGATGAGACAAATGTAATACTCTGATGCATCAGTGAAAGCATTTCTAGTAGAGATGTACTATTGTCATTTTACAAGGTTCTAATGAGATTTCACCCAGGATATCGAGCAAAGGTGACTGAATTGTGCACAAGTAAAACTGAATAGAGGCAGAGAAGAACAGGAGATGAGGTGTACAGCAGGGAGACTGCAGAAGTGAGCTTGTGCCATATGTTGAACAAGCCAAAAAGGGACATGACTATAAACTCAAACAGAAAGTAGGCTGGGAAGGCAGGAAGAAATACTATCCAAGACCAGTCTCCGATAAGAAGAAGCAGATATAAATTAGCCAGGAGTGAAACTGTTTCTGAAATTATAAAGATGCTTACAACCACAGTAAGAATGTTACTCTAAAATTCCTCCAAAAAAGTAGCACAAATATACTATCTGTTTTAAGATAGACCTCATCAGCCTGTAATCGGAATTATAGGACACGCTTGCCTAACCTAGGAGTTGCATTCAGTCCTGTGTTCCTATAGGAAAGTAAAATAACATGATGACATGCAAACATACAATCTTTTACTACTAGCTCCACATATCTGTTTTTAAAAGGTTATGTCTCATTCCCTTAAATTATATTCTCTCTGGACAGGCGTTTGATTTCTAGTAACAACTACAGTCTCTCTTTCAGAGAATGGCCCTGTACAAAAAACAACTCCCCAAACCCCTCAAACTGTTCCTCTTCCAAGTCGTGCTAGCATTGTGGCATAATTTTTTTAAGGTAAAAGGTGATCTGTATGTTCTCATTATTTATTTTAATAGTTTTCCACGAACTCAAGATATCGCCATATATGATAAATGTGTATGTTTCTTAAAAAAGGACCTTCACAAAACCTAGAAATTAATGACTTCCTAGACAGTTGTGACCCATCTCTTGCATTCTCCTCCTGACCAGCACCCAGGAGCACCCAGGATGCTTTTCACTAGATGAGGCAATGGTCTTGTGGAAACAAGATGTAAATGAACTGGTAAAACTATCAAAGCGATGCTCTCAGTAAAGAATAAATGACATTATGTCTTCAAATTTTTTACTTACTCATTTCCATGAACAGCTGTCTCTTCTCTGCCATTGTCCTCCTCCTCTTCCCACTCTCCTCAATCATTCTGAAGATAAAAACAGCAAACACTGTTTGTGCTAGAATTTGTTACAAGAGCAACTTACTGTGAACAACATTATTTTATCCGTCAACTGAAACAGTTTGATTATATTTGGTAAATGAAAAGACCTGTAAAAAGACAGACACCACCATAATGATCATATCGCATAGCGGAGATATACGTTTTAGACTTGTTAAAGCAGTGCACAGGACAGGAAACATTAATTCTAACCTTTTAGCTGCAAAACTGAGAGCTGAATACATATATATAGCAATATAATGTAAAAAATTCCTTTCTGTTCAAAGAGATTTTGTTTGGAAAATACAAAGCAAGCAAGACCTCTCCATGAGCAGCTGAGACAATGAAGTACAGAACCCTATAGATTTGCATGTTAGTCACTTTGGTGTTCGAAAGGAGAAAGGGTATTACATTCCTTTCCCTGGCTGACAGGGATTAATAACCCACCTCTTCCCTGCCTAGGGTTTTTGTGGGAATGTTGGGTTTGGGAGTGGGGGTTGTGTTATCTTTAAACAAAACTTGTAAGAATTAATTTAACTTTGAAACCTGATGTCTGACTTCAAATGCTATTTGTCAGGGAAGTAAAGATCTTAAATATAATAAAGGTGGAAAGAAACAAAACGTATACTGTAGTCATACAGGCCTCTCTTTCTTAGGGAATGAGACTAAAGAAGTGACAGCACCGCAGTGGAACTTACACCCCAAGGTAAGGAGGCATAGGGACAATTTAGTACCTCTTATGGCTTACTTCACTGTGTAGTCCTAAAAGACAGATGCTAAGTTTCAGTCAACTCCAGTGGAAAAAAAAAAAAAAAAGCACAACTAAATTCAGTATCACTGTAAAATTTCACTTAAAATTACTACATTATATTATTGTTTTGTTACCAGATTCACCAACTAATTAAATGTTTTTAAAATGTCTTTAAAAAAAAAAAAGGCAAAAATACCAAACAATTACTCTACAATTACAGCAGAATGTAACTCTAAGGAAGGTAGTCAGCTCACTCTCATGCAACATGGCAGGACAGATTTCATTAGGCTTAAATGTCAACCAAGAAAAAGAAAGTCATGTCTTGGCACTTAATATGTACTCTCTGATTAACAGTTTCCCCTCAGCAGTTGTCCACTGCCAATTAATTATTCTCTGGTAAAGATCTCACAACATATATTCATCTTGGAAGCCACCAAAGCCTTTTTCCTTACCTGTTCATAAAAGGAAAAAAGCATACGGTGGTATGAAGTAATCTGCAAATATATTTTATTTCCTTATTTTTTTCCTACTTTAGAAAATCATAGACTCAGAACCAACATGCTTCTGTTTGTGGGTTTGTTTTTGGGGTTTTTTTTTGTGTGTTTTTTTTAAGGAAAAACCCAGAAATTACCTACCAGAGCCCATGGATTCCAGCTAAACCCACGAGACAGGCTTCCTACCATGCTTCTAACCAGCAAGAAAAAGCATATGGCAACGCCAGACGTGCCCACCACTCGCAAGGCTGTGCAAGTAGCACAGACGGGGCTGAGGAAAGGACTAAAGGCAGAGATAAAGCAGGGTAGGAGACTAATACTGTATATGAAGAGTTGCAATTAATTTTGCTCTTGTTGGGTAACATGTATATTTAAAGTAATTATATTACCATGACATCAATCTCTCTCTTTACAGACACTTTATTGCTTTGCAGGTGTCAGGATTTGAGGTTTTTTAAGAGGTCATTCAAGTCACATGGACCACAGCCATAGAACACTATCATATATAATTCACAGCTAAATAGGTTAAATTGACCAAGATACACACTTCTAAAATTTTAAAGAAGCTAGCATTACTCTTCATGCTCTCTGCAAAGCAAATGAGTCCTCTGTTCAGCAATATCCTTGAAACAAGATCTGGATAAGTAAATTGGCATCTCTATGATTATGAAGTACTGCAGGGACACATCCACAGCGCCCAATTAACCCATAGCTCAGGAATTGTCTTTTAGGGATTTTTCAGGTATGTTCTCAGGAAAATCATGTCCTAAGGAATGTTGTCTCAGGGCCTCCTCTAAGGCTGTTGCCTTTCTTTAAGGAAGCAAAAGATTTGAAATTTTCATTAGATGAACAGCTCAACAATCCTGTACCTGCTCATTAAAACAAAAATAAGTAAATCAAATGTTACTGTTTAGATTCACAAGCTCTCCTTAAAGATTCTTTTCTGCTATTACCTATGAGGGGGCAAACATCTAGGAAATCTTTCTGGGCCAGAGTGTTACACATTCTGAAGACAAGTAGTCAAGAGTGGAGAGACAGAGAAAAACCAAAATGGCAGATATTTGGAAAAGTTGTGGAAATTACAATAGTCATATGAGATTTATTAGAATAACTGACAAACCACTTTTAAAGCCTGAACAATCAGATACAGAAGGATCCCTTACTGATGAAGCTGGGAAGAAGACAGAAACTCTATATTCACCTTTGCACTTTAAACTTATCTCAAGTTCAAAACAGGAATGAACTAAAACCAGAATAACTGCAATTATGCTAAGGATGCAAATTACAGTGCTCAACATCAGAAAACAAGAAAGGTAAACTGCAATTTGTTCTGCACTGGTTTTTGGTTTGGTTGATTTTGTTTATTTGAAGGGAGTGGGGGGTGTTTAGTGTGATTTTTTTTGTGTTTTTTTGTTTGGCTGGTTGTGCATTGATTTTTTTTTTAACGTTTGTGGCACAATGCATGAGAAAATTACTAAGATACACGCATGGTTGAAATGACAAGGCAGACAAAAATTCTCAAGATGGATGCTTGCCTTACAATGGACATATGTGGAGAAAAAAGGCTCAAATATATTTATGTGCCAACAGGGGACAATGCGAATGCACTGAGGATTCTCCAGTATCGCACTACACATTTAAACAGGTACTATGAGGGGTTTTTTCATCCAGCTTTGTCCTTCACATTTTGTAATGAGCTGCTTCTAAACACTTGGTACCTACTTCTTCATTCTCAAAACCCTGACAGATTGGCAATGCTTGGGATAAGTGGTCTACATAGACCAATGCCTATCTTCGAGAACAGTACTGCACTTTTGTGCTCTCTCTTTAGCATTTGCTACCATTTTATGTGTGTGCTAACTATATTGCACACACTGCATGAGCAGTCTATGCTGAAGAAGTCCCAAGTCCATGCCTACAGTAACTAGGCACTATATTGCTATAGAAAGGTCAGCAGCAACACGCATCTAAAACTGTCAATCCTTTACACTGCCAACATAGGAAAGAGTTCTTATACATTCACAAAATGTCAGCTTTGGACCTGAAGATTTCCATAACAGTAATCCAGATCAAGTTTGTTGGAGTCATAGAAAGAACTCCGATAAAATGCTAGAGAGGGATTTAGAAGAAGAAACATGCTTGGTCATGCTTAAAAGGCCTAATTATTTTAATGCAAAGTTCTACTAAGAGAGTAAGAGCACACTACTGGGTCAAATCCAGCTTGCCAATGCAGTATCATGCATTGATAAAAGGAACCCAAAGCAGATGTGCAGGGAAGAATAAAAGGATAGGGCAAGCATAGAGAAGAAGTTCCAAAGAACTTCCTTTTAAGTTCCAAAAGTTTGCAGTGCCAAGACTTACCAAAGTGGTTCTCCATAGTGACCATCAACAGCTTTTTCCCCCCCACAAGCCTGTGTGTTTGTCCCTTTACCACCCATAAACTTTTGACATTCACAACACTGAAGCAAGAATTCCCAAGCACGAAACCCACAGCTCAACAGATCACCTCCCTGGATTTTCTGCACCTCCCTTCTCCCATCAGATTCACAAGCCTCCTAGTTCTTCTACTGGGAGATACAGAACAAACAATCACTATCCACCCTCTCCACAACATTCTTGGTTTTACAGATCTCCAACATATCTTTCTCCCCAGATGCCTCTCTTCCACATTGAGGGATCTCATCTTATTTTGTCCTTCCTTGTACAAAATGCACTTTGAGCTCCTATGAATCCAAATCAACACACACATATTGAGAAAGATGAGCAGCCAACAAAAGGCCAAACGACAAGGGGTGACCAAAGCAATTAATGTGTATGTAACTAGGAAGAGCCCAGGATGGAAAAGCTCAATAGACTGAGCAAGGAGGTGAGAAGTAAAGAAGAACAGGGGATCACAGCTTTGCACAGGAATGACTGGAATGGCCACGAGCAGCAAGAGAGAACACACAGAATGTTGACTTGGACAAAGTGAAAGATGAGAGGTAAGAATCAAAATTGCTACAGACAGTAGAAAAAACAGCTTTTCCAAAATAAAGTAACTGTGAATTTAAGTTTTCCTCTCTCCATGAAATATAATAATAAAATGCATTTAATTTTCCTATACCTTTTGGAACATGTAGCTACATGCTTACCTGAAGGTGCAAATGCTTACAAGCAATAGAATTGGCAGATGAAGAAGCCATGCAGGAATCAATATGGATTCAAAAGATTAAATTAGCAGGGAGATTTAATATAAAACTACCCTAAGTATCAGTCACACTTTTATAACAACAAGAAGAAACACTCTATCTTAGAGCACATATTTGAAGCGGAATGGCCAAGACTGAAAGCGAAATGTTAAATCCTAACTTCAGTGTTTCTTTAAGCATGGTCTTAAATTGCATACACAAATACCAAAAATGCCAGACTGCTTTCTGTGGTTTTGGCCATAGTACAAAATGGCTGACCTCCATCCAGTCTGAGACTTTCTCATGCCAGATAGTACAATTGTTGTCCCAAACTACGCCTAATGATTTCTTATTTCTTCCCTTATACTTCCTGCCATCTATCCTTTCAGTGCCTCAAAGGTAAAGTTCATCAAAAGAGCTTAGGCCTTAAGATACCAAGACTTGGGATCAGTAGTGTTTAATTAAAGAATCTGCCTTCCTCCTTCCCCAACTCTAAATCACCACTGAACCTCAGAATAATTACACAGAAAAGCAAGGTTCCCCAAAAGGTCCTTGCAGCAAAAAAGGTGTCACTC